TCAGCTTTATGTGTTTTTACAGAGCTTAAGACTGTATAAGACCACTATAAGCCAAGTGTATCTCAGCAATTCCAATCGAAAGTCACAGGAAAATTGCACAAAGGAGTCAACGGTATATTCATTCCATTGTAATTTCCAGTTTGTGCATAACATTGTGTAAAACTGGTATTTGTAAATGTTCTGCTATGAGACTGCAGATTGCATTACTGCATGCGAATCACTGTGTGTGACTACAGGTTGTGATATCAAACCACACACAAGCACTAGATGTTCAGCTTCTAGAGTTCAACTTCTGAGTCCTAAAATCACATGCTATGTAAAATAAGGACTAGGATATGACTGTGTAAAGGGCTTAATCAATAGACTTATTTACATGCTTAATGTTAACCAATTTCCTCAATGAAGCAGGAACTCAGATTTTGCCCATCTCCTATTATTTCTATTGTTTATTCTCCTGTGGCACTTTCAGCCACACAAAATTACTTAGTGCACAAAATGCCTAATAGGCAAATCAGAAACTCAGAAACTTTTAATTATAAATGGGTTGTGGTTTTGTATTTTGAGAAGAAAAAAAATCCATCTTCCCATGCAAAATTGTACCCTATGTAAACATATCACGAGTAAGTTAAAAGTTTGTTCCAGATGTTTATGTATGCAGAAAGTTTCATTTTGTATGGGTTGATAAATCAGTAGTTTCAAAGTGTTTCTCGTAACATTTTCTTCTCTCAGCTAATAGTTATTGCATTTATGTTTTCACAAGTTATTTGTGCATAAGGTAGTATAAACTAAAATTTAATCTATGAAAAGCTGCTGTCTGAAAAAACTTCTAATAATGACTATTCCAAAAAAACTAAAGTTTATTTTTAACTTTGTTACTGCAGAGTATTTTTTTCTAACTACTAAATCACTGGGAAGCATTTTATTTTCCCTAACATTATCTAACAGAAGTGACTTTGTGAGTTACTAATTATATGAACTGTATGAGATTTGATTTTGTAAAGCCTTAGGAAAGATAATATATTTTCTTAATGGTTAAGTAATTAGCAGGGTACCTGAATGAACAATTCAAAGACACTAAAGTTTTCTCCACCAGAGATCATGCAGAGAAGTACTGATAATTTAATTGGCTTCATAAAAGATAATACATGCATAAATGTGCTTTACTACAGCTTTATCAGGATTTGACTATGAAGTTTTTAAACTGTAGAAACTTTGTAATTAATATCGTTTTCCTTATTTAAGGTTTAACATATAGCATTCAGTTTTGTTTGCATTGTACATAGATGCATATGAAGAGAAATTAACACTATGCAAAGCTCTGGTGAACTCTTAAAGAAAAGTGATTGATGGCTTGTGAGCCTCCCAGCCCGGGCAGAGAGCGGACGGAAGCATTTATCAAGAAGCTGCAGAACAGTTCAGCACTGTTGATGTTATTTGTAGAAGTATTGAAGCAGACTGAGAAAATCTTAGAGGTGCGCTGTACACTTACTGCCTAAAATGAGATCCGATCTTGGCTGTTCCAAACAGGATGGTACGTGTCTGGTGAGAGACGCTGTAGGAAGTCGCCCTTTCCCATGCACAGCTCCATAGCTGGTCTATGGCCACCCTCGGGGAGCTCCGGCCACTACTGCACCCCAGGGACGTGCCGGCCTCCGTGGTACCTCAACGACCTAAACCAAGAGCTGGATATGTACTATAGCAAATGCAGAGAAAGGCACACTTCACTGAGATCCATCTGGGAAACCAGACACACATCCAAATCCAGGGGAAGGCAGCCGAAGGCTGACCTGTGTGTAGGCTGGTGTCGTGGTTTGGGCCACTACAGTAATTGAACTCCATAGAGCCGCTCGCTC